CTTGCGGATTCACACACACACACACACACACACACACACACACACGCACACACACACACCAGTGATTACTGTGAATGAATGTCTGTGTCTGTGAGTTTGCCTCTTGGAGGGAGCACTCGTGATTACACGGGAAGATGAAAGGTATTCAAGAAATCCGGCTGCTTCTATGTCTAAAATGCGGTCAAAGAGAGGGAAAGAGTTGAGATCTTACGAACTACTTTTACTTGCATGCTTGACGGATGTCTGGTGCGGTTCCTGACTCCTCTGCTGCATATAACAATCTGGCTTTGGTACTGCTGAACTGGATCTCCGTGACTAGATAGATACATACATACATATACATCAACAGTGTGGTTTGTTTCGGTGAAGTGTATGGTAACCGCCAAGGTCCTTGGCTAAGCCAACAGGCCCATTGGTATTCTCCCATCCAATCAGTCAGGCGCGCCTCGTGGTGTGGACAAACGCAGCTCGCGCTTTAGGAGAAAGTAAATTAGTAAGCACAGGAAGAGATCATTTCCGTCGGTAGCCTGCTCAAATCTGCAATGGAAGAACTGATTTGGAAGATCGGAAAACTCACAATACTCTATTTGGAAATAGATACTTTCTACTACGTTCAGAATTCGCTTGCTTATTCATTGTCATCACAGGCCTGTCATCTTTCAACTGTTTTCTCTTCTTTTCTTGGGGTCTCACCTCGTTGAATTCCACGTGACAGTAGATCCTCTCGTTATCCATTTTCCCGGGGCGTTGTGTTTTAGCCAGAAACAAGTTCATCATTCGATGTATCGGTAGAAAAAACCCTTCTTACTCGATTGGTGGCGCATTGAACTAAGATCTTTGTTTACTTTATACATACAAAAATAGCGCTGTTATTCTATCCAGTTATTATCATCTGAACTATAGCTCACCTCGAGATAAAATGCCACTTCACAAGCACTGATGATGTCACCTCAGCTGGTGATGAAACGTTTGCAAATAAACTGCCAAGCTCGGCGAACAGGCGAAATGGAATAAAATGTTTCTTCAGTAGTTTTTCCCAGGCATCTACTCATACAAGCTAATTGAAATGAGATGGTTTTCTCGCGTAGACAAAGTCAATTAAAATTCTGTCAACCCCAGGTACCTCAGGTAGTCACCGTAACTGGAGATTTTGTTTAGAAGTGATTACACACTACAACAGCGTGTGGTGTTTTGCCGGACGATCTTAACCCATTATTTTCAATTCAGCAGATCGATGGTTTCTTTGTGAACAACACCCCCGGCTGACGAGGTATGACTGTAGTTTGGTGACAATGCCGGAAGGACAATAATGAAATTCGATGAGGTTCTACCCGATTAGATCCCCGGATGTTGGTTTTTCGTCTTCTCACTTTAGTGTGAAAACACCCCCGCCGCACGTGGGAGCAGTAAGTCGGGCCTCCCGAACAGAGGATATTGGAGACTCTCGGTCGTACAAACGCATTTCGCGCTGTGCAAAGGAGGAATGACCAGCAACGACCCGTGAGACACCCACACTTGACCCTACTGAAGCCTTGGGAGGGGGTGATAACTAACTGAAGCCGGAAATTAAGAGAACTAATGCACAAAACTGAAATTAATGAAATGAGGAAAACGCTCGATGTCCGTCACAATCGGCCCGACCTGGATGCTCCGTTCAGTGCCAATATTCGCATGATACAATACCATGGTGCTCATTACAGGTCTAAAAAGCGATCAACGCCATTATCTGTAGCACGAAACTCACATCTGGAACAGTGAGTCATTATTGGGCAACTGTGAATCTTAACTAGTCCCGACGATCACGATGATCATAAAAGTTTGTTGTGGTAAATTGGACGATTCCAGACGATGAGTTGCTTGAAAAAATTCTCTGACCGGAACACATTTTTTATAATATTTTTATAATATACATGTTTCAATTGTTGTATCACTGCATAAAGCTTTGTTTCTTCAAAAACGTTTTCAGTTTCTTGTTGCTCGCTTGCTAGAAGTGAGGATTATGGACGATCAGTCCAGTCCCGGGCACTCGTCCACATTCGAAAACGGACTGTGCGGTAGTCCGAACTTTTCATTCCGATACCACTGGATACATTAAGCATGTTATCATTCGAAAGTGTGTTGTTCAACTTTTGCACATCTCTTTTTGATACTCTTTTTCTTTCCTCTTCCTAATTTCAGACTTGTCGTAATGAACCTGCCGAATTGGGTGTGTCCCGAAACGGGATCAATATTACAACGTTGGAACCACAACAACGGACCACAGCAAATCTAAAGTAAGCCACCAACTTCACTATTCAATCTGGGATTTGATCAATTCGTACGGTGTTGGATTAGATAAGCACCAATTTGTTCATCTCTCGGTGAAAAGTTTATTCACAGTTCACCGATTGTAACGCTTTTAGTACGACGTGTAAAAATGTGATGCCTTGTTCTCAATGCGATGGAAATGTTTGTGATAACCAACAAAGAGCACCGGACAGCTGTTTCGTCCTGTTTGGGACTTATCAGCAGTGCGTACTTTTTTGTGTCCCTGTCAGGACTCGAACCGTGATCAGTCGGGTTGGGACTTCAAACCCTTACCCCTGAGCTACATGGCCGAGGAGTGAAATCCACACCGAAGAACTTCAAGAGCGCCTGGTGACTATGAACAATCGAATGAGCTAATTCAAGTGATGACTTGTTGTTCATAAAAAAAACAAGTTTCCCATGCGAAATTTTTGAATTCTTACGGACGCGAGAGAGAGAGAAACAGTAAGGGTGTGTGTGCGTGGAGACAGCATCAAATTTTATTGAGTTGACTTCTACTATGACGTTGAGATATATTCAATAGGCATTTCGGTGCATCGAAACGTGTACCACCTCGTAAGCGGATTCATTTTCCACGTGCCACAGGCAGACACGGGTTACCCCAGGCCTGACTATTTTGCCGGTAGCAATACATGTATGTCGACCGACACCTGGGATCGGGGAGGACAGAAGTTGCTTGTTCAGCGCGTGCTTGCCTTTGGCTATAATTTCACCTTCATGCACGGCACACGCTTGTGTGCTTGTCTGTGCCCGCAACCACTCATCCACATACGCACGCATGCACACACACACAGGCGTGTCTCGAGCTGGATTGGTATCTATATATGCGGACAAACTGGTCTGCTGTGGGGAGCGGATGGAAACCCCGATAGGAACTTCCCTTAATCGATCAATCAATCGATCGATCGATGATTGGATTGGCAGTTGGCCAGCTTAAGCGAGCGCCATCGGCGCAGGAATGTGTGTAGCACACATCCATATTGGACTTTATTTGGTGCGCTTGGGATGCGCCCCTCCCCCCCCCCCNACGTGTAATCGATGGTCGATAGATGGTTACGGGGACCTGGTTTCCGGATAGACCTTGGTGTATGCGTTCACATTCAGCTTTACCGAATCACATGCGCGTCTCGGACTCTGACGGGGTCACATGTGATACTGAATTGAATTTTGATAGCACTCCTGCAAACAATGTTTTTCGTTTAGTAATATTTTTTTCGCAATAGATCATCTAATAAATCTAAACTTTACCGTGAAACAAATGTATCGTTGAACACATTTCTTCCATGAAGTGATTCGGTATAATGTAATACCAGAACACATGCCATTCATTTACGCGTTCTATATATCGTTTATTGCCTCCTCGCATTAACCTCTATAGAAATTCTACGATTTCCTACCTCTCTGGAATCCTTACAAACCGACAGTGTGTTTCTTCTGAATTTCTCAGCAATGTTTGAGGCATTTTTTTCTTTCTACTTAGTTTTTTATTCACTGAATATACAAATGTACAGTAAGCTTACAGGAAGGGGGCCGCGGCCATACAAAGGCTACCTGGGAAAATGCAGAAATTGGGTGAAAGGGCTGCGGTATTATTTCCTTCTTTCCATGAAATATGTAATTTTTGCCTGAAATGCTGACATCTGTCCACGCAGAAGTCTATGCAAATACAAATACAAACACAATACAGTAAGTTTTAGCTTTCGAGCCTCGTTGTTAATGCATTCACAGCACAATCTTCTCTACATCCTGTAGTAATTAATTGATTATATATATATATATATATATATATATATATGCGTCTAGGGCAGTCAAACTAAGACCTGGCATGAGGGTATGAAAACCCTAACCAGGATACTGAATCACATAGGTCTTGTTAAGCTTCGTGAATGGGGACCCCTAGATCATGATAACCGGTGGTTGGAGACTAAGTGATATGGCTGGGTCTTGCAGACGGTGGCGCTCGTGCATCTACTCATGATTCTTGCAGCCAGAGTCTATATGAATTCTCTCTCTTCTCTTTGACTTTGATCTCAACGTACCAATCTTCATTCTACTCTTTTATCCAAATGGGCGATCAAAAGATAACAACCAAAACCGGCGCACAAAACTGCGTTGCATAAACTGAAACTGTCTCTTCAAACGCGTTTTATCGTTTTAAAACGTATTGTTTATTCATACAGTCCTGTTTCACGGTAAGAGAAGTGTGTGTTGTATCTTCTCCCTGTACCAATAATATTTCTTGTATTTGGCTGAGTCGGAAAATCTCCACTTTCCCATGATTGACTCTGTATTTCTACTCTCAATCCATTTGTTTCACCAACCCAGATGGGAACACATAAAAGATCTCACATATTCGCGGAAAACGTTCACCATACAACTACTAAAAAAGAACAAAGCAGTACACTTTCTATTTGTGAGTAATGTCGCATCCCCTCTGCATGTGCATGTACGATAACGAATCCCAGCGTTCTGACCGATTCTGGGGTGGCGCCCAACGACGGGGCTCGAGACCGGTTTCGCTCATGCCCGAATGGTACGGAAAATGTGAACGTGATTTTGAGGCATGATTTTGAATCGCTTTTCTCCGTTCAGAGTCGGTCGCTTTCTTACCGTCCACTGAATGGGTGATTAACTATACGAGAGGTGGACGGGCGGACGGCCAAATTTAGATTGGTTAGCTCATGGAACAGAATAAATAAGATTGGTATAGTTTTCGAACACACCATAAGCCCAAGAAACTAACCACCACCCTATTGGTTCACTTCCGTTACGCATCTGATTCAGGATGGACAATTTTAACGAAATGCATGCATGCATGCATGCATGTTTGGAGGTGCCTGCACAGTGTGAAGTTTCGCATTACTGACTTAAAATCGACTCTCTGTCAATGAGATAAACTATTTTAGTAACCAATTCATCTCTCGTAAAACAGTCACTGAAACGCAACAGTTAGTTAATTTTTATTCCATACCTTTGTGTGGTGAACAGCAGACGGGGTAAACCCCGTAGTTACTTAGACCTGCTGTTCAGTGATGGAAACCGGTAACCTAAGCCCCGCCAGACTTGGAGTCGCGAACCACCTAAGGTCCCTCTAGATTAGGCGTGTTATTGAATCTGACGACAACAAAGCTGCCTACCACCAAAGTTGGGTGGCGGTGGCGGGGTTCGAACCTCGGACCATAGTGTTTAAAGCACGCCAGTGACAGCGATTAAACCACTGCGCCACCGCCACCACCACCTCTTGATATGACAATACAGTTTGTTGCACTTGGATATGACAATGAGCTAGGCGGGTAAAAGAGAAACAACCAGCCCCGTTTCATCGCTGCATGACTGTTTCATTTACACACCCGCGCACATTTCTGTATTTCTCAATTTACTCTTCTGTCTGGTTTCAGGAAGATAACGAGAATGCCCGTTATCTGTGGCAATTCTGTATACAGATGCATAGCAGCTACATTGAATATTGGACGCGGGTGAAGTAAGCGCTCCTCATTTTTTTCTCTTGTTTTCCATTAGACACCACATCAATTGAACTTCGCTCCCTGCATCTCATTCGAATATACAACTTTTACAATTCCCTTTTTGTTCCCTTCTCCTGGCCAGATCCGCACCACAACAACCTGCCATCCAGGTATCAGAACCACCGTGAGTTGATTCGCAGTTGCTTTTTATTGTACAAACAAACAGTGTGCCAATTCAATCCTAGGGTAGGCATGAGGCGATTGAATAAAGGCATATGAGAATTGCACTGTGGAGTCCATACCACCCCTTAGCAATGGTTTATTCGTGGAAGTAGAAAGCGTTGGGAATTCAGGCGTATGTCGTTCTGCTGAAACCGCGGCAACATAGGTAGATGATGTCCCACTGGTTTACTAGGAATATACATCTATAGGATATATTAATCGATTTTTCTAGAGGTTAATTTGGGGTCAACTACTTTAACTGTCGCATCGAACGGAACGAGCTTCGGAATATATCGATTAAAAAAGCGATGCAACATATATGCATGATATGGAAATGTGCACTTTTCAATCATACGATGTCATCAGCAAAAACAGTTATAAGCCGAGGTTTCGTATCTTGGTCACCGAATAATTCAGGGAATAGGTATGAGCCAACTAACGTCGAAATTTCACTGCCCATCTGTATGTGTGTGTGTGTGTCTGTCTGTCTGCGTCCGTGTGGACACCCCTGATCGAGATCGTCCGTAGTGCTGCCCATCCGTCCATGGGATTGGGGGTTATTTGAGGTCAACTGAGC